GTGGGGGGGGGTCATTCAACGCGTTGCATGCACACGGGCTCAGTTTGATCCAAGACACTGCCCTACAACCGTTCATGCTACCCGTACACACCGTGGGGGTAGCCAGTATGCCCGTGGCGACGCTGGCCGGCCATTACGTCTCCCGCCGTTCCCCCGACAAATGCTGGACCACGAGCCTCGATCAAACCCCGTCCGTTTGAGACTCTAACGTTGGTGTCTGCTGCTGATACTGCAGCTGCAGCTGCTGTTGGTGTTGAGGCTGCTGCAGCTGCTAATGCTAATTTTAGTGCTGCTGCTGCCGGCTCTTCATCATCTGACACCTGACATTCAAATCACCGCGTGCCACACGGAATCAGCACGAAAGCACCGGGTTGGCGAGAAAGCTCAGAAGGACTGATTGGGAGGAGACTGGAACGGCTAACGACTTGAATCGAAGTACGCGTTGTGGCATTTCGGTGCGGTGGTCGTGGCTACCGGCTCCTCAACTTGGAAGACTCGCCAACGATCTGCTGCACAGCTGTTGCGATCGTAGTGGATGGCCATTTTTGAGCAAGGGTGGATTGAAACGAACATGACAGTGTCGACGTCAAGCGTCCGTGACATTGACCGGCGAGCCTCGATCTCCGGCAGTGGTAACACTGCGTGGCTACTGCCAAGCAAGAACAATCCAGACGGGACACGCAGCCCTGTTGCCGACTTCAAACCGGCATAAATACAAGCATGGGGGGGTCGAACAGCCCGATACGCACGCGCAACAACAACAGGCGCCACCTTCGCCTGGCGACGCATCTCTACCACTTGGGGGCATCTTTTACGGCTGTCGCACTACCTCTCCCTCAAGTCGTCCATTTATTGGTTGCGTGAGAAACGTCTTCTCGAGGCTGCCGCCGAAAAATAGCGCCTCACCTCCACTATGACAGCGTCCGCAGGGACCGACTGCCGAGGGACCTCCTGCTGCCAACGCGGCCGCTGCGGCGCCCGCTGCTCCTTCGCCCCCCCCCTTACGTCGTCCGGCGGAGCACGGTGGTCGTCGAAAGACCTCTTGCACCCCCTCCCTTCCTCGCCCCCGCCGAACGTCTCCGCTGCTGCCGCTGCTGCCGCTGCCGTTCCCCTCCGGCCGCCCTGGGCCCATCCCGCCGGCGGCCTGCTCCCAACCTGGCCTCGAGAGGAGGCCGTTCCGTCCTCCTCCTCCTCCGGCGCGGACGTGCGCCGGTGGTCTGCAGGCTGCCGCGTGACTGGCGCGCTGCCGCCGCCGCTGTCGTCGCTGCTGCTGTTGTTGTTGTTGTTGTTGTTGTTGTTGTTGTTGTTGTTGTTGATTCTCCCTCTGCTGCTGCTGCTTCCAACGCCGTCGCCGCCGCCATCATCATTGTTATTGTTACCTCTACCTCTGCCTCTGCTGGTGCTGGTGCTGTTGGTGCTGTTGGTGCTGCTGCCAACGGCCTTGCCGGCGCTCCCCTTTTTGCCGGCGATTCCTGTCGCCGCCGCCGCTCCGCGCCTGTCGTTCCTGCTCGAACGCCGCGTCCGGAGCTGGTACGAGCCGACGGCTATGTCGCCGTCGTCGCTGTCGCCCGAGTCTTCGAACGACGACGCCTGGAGGCGGGTGGGGCACCGCAGCGACGGACGGTGCCGGAGGTTGGGGGGCGGGCTCGGGCGCGGGACGGGTGGGCCGCGGAGGCTCGCGGACCTCCTCTCCGAACGAACCTTCGCCTGCGCCTGCGAGAGGCACGCAAGACGGACGATAGACGGATTTGTTATTGTTGGGGGAACGGGAGGGGGTGGCGTGCGTGGCGGTAGTTTGTTGTAAGGGTAGCGATTCGAGCTCGGGGGCGGAGGGAAGGTTGGGGGTGGTTTTTTCTTCGGCACACATCGCCGTGCAAAGGACACGCAGAGCAGTACGACCTGCTCATGAAATGCCCCGAAAATTGAGGAAAAAAGGGTGCCTAATCAACGCCTGTGCGAAAGCAGGAAAGGAATCACGCTTCACTGCCGGGGAAGAGCCCAAGGGGTGCGTTGGTGCCCGCCCTGGTGGAAACGAAGCACGAAGCAGAAAAAAAAGACGCATTGACAGAAACATCATGGTCGCACAAACTGCGCATATTTCGCTTGTCTGCCGTATCGGACACGCATTTATCTGGAGGCGCGCGAAACACACACTTGATTCCCTCACGCGCGCACACACACCTCAGCGCTTCCCATGACTTCCGTCAGCGCGTCTCCGGTGGCCATGTACCGGTAGTAGAACGACAGAACCTGCGGTGGAGGGCAACAGGGGAACAAGAGGTAGCGGCAAGCATCGCGACCGTGCACACACCGAAGGGAAACATTCGTTCTGGTTCCGCTGCCTTTCCAACCAACCATATTCCCCACAATTTTGAAAGCGTTGAAGTCCTGTGAGTCGTCTGCGGCAAACACGCCTTGTCTTCTCTCTCTCTCTCTCTCTCTCTCTCTCTCTCTCTCTCTCTCTCTCTCTCCTTCCCTCTGCTCTTCCTCTCTTGTCCGCTCTTGTCCTACCTGTGACGGCGTCTTTCCGTCGACAGAAGCGATCAAAGAGGTAACGTCGGTGTGCTCGTCGCGATGTCGCTCGTGCCCCCTCGAACGAGTAAAGCGGTCTGGATCAAAGTTAGCCTCCAGAGCTTTCGAGAGGGCTTCAATCTGCAACAGCAGCAAAATCGCACCGGAGGTCGCGGGTGTGTGTGTGCATGTGAACAAAACGCAAAACAGAAGGAACTGACAGCTGCTACGTAACACCAGACCCCTTGACAACGCCAGCTGCATGTCAATAGTGCTACCACACAAATGATGCCCATCCCTCTTTCGCTCAAGCAACTCAGCGGCGCGAGCGTGGTGATTCTGGAGCTGCTCTTGTCTAACTGTTTCCAATCCGGAGGGCAACAGCAATCACTTTACCTGCGGTCCAGTCCAGGTGGCCAGGGGGCCCGAGTCGTCGACCATGGTATTGTCGAGGAGACCGAGGGCGGTGCGCGCGTTGTCGATGAGGCTGCCCTTTCCTTTCTTGTTGCCTGCATCCTCCCGCATAAGGGCCTGCATGGCCAGCTCCTCAACCTGCCCGAGAGCACACACATCGGGGTGCAACAAAAGTAATCGAGGCGAGAGGAAATTATCAAGCAGTGTCGTGATGGTGTTTGAACTTAATGAAGGTAATATACAACTTCAAAGCTTGAAGGTGCTGTCGCATGCAGCTCAGATTCAAGTCCAGGGGCACAATTACTGCAGCAAAATAGGCTGCAGAAGCCGGGCACACCAATAAATGTTAACGCCATCGCGAAAGAAGTAAACACATCGTGTGCAGGCAGTACTCGGTAGCACGCGCTCACGAACTTTTTGCAAGCGTGAACGCAACAAACACACGCGCTTAAGAGTTCTGGTAACGGTCCAACGGGTAGAGACCCTCGCCTGCTTGCACCACGCATCTATAATAGCCCCTCTACCCTTGAGGTGGCACGTGCCCTTGGATGTGCGTTCCTCCAAACGCGGGTCACGTTTTGACAATGTCGGAGTCCAGTCACATGAAAAGACATTTACGATGCTAGCCCGCGTGCCTGCGACGGAGAAGGGTCGTTGGACCTTTCGGCTTGAGCGTGGTGTCCGATACGCCACTGCTTGCAACAACCGCCCCGATTGTTGCGCACCAACCCCGCAACTGCCGCTGACAGCAGTACCTGAAACGCCACCCCCCACGAGAAACAGGCCGATCACCATCGTGCAATGAAAAGAGGCCGATCAATATCGTCTAAACTCCCTTCGAATTACACCGAAACCGCGATATTGCCTTCCCGTCTTCCTCTACTACAAAGCAGCAGGCCCGCCTCCGGCAATATGCCAAACGCACACCTGGGTGGGCTGGAGCTCACTCCGCGACACCTCCGAGACACCGCCCCCCGCGCAGGTCACGAGCAGCTTCTCCTTGTCCTCGGGCTTCCCTCCGGCCATGACCGCCCACGCTATCTTGCGCTTCCGCCGCCTGTCGCCCCCGTTGTTGATGCTGATCAGCGCCGGCACGCCCGGCGACATCCTCTTCTCGTCCGCGGCACGCCTGGCCTCCTCGAGGTACCCGTCCAGGCGCTCCCTCTCGCTCGCCGTCCAATCCCTCACGCTGCTCCACACCTGAGGGGAGGCGGCAAATGCGTGGCGACGGTTGGATTGGGCTGGGTTGGACTGCCTCGATTGGGGGTGACTGACGGGAGGGTAGGTAGACGAGAGGGAGGGGGTGCGACGGGAGGGGTGTGCATGACGGGAGGGGGGGAGGTGACGCATTTTCTTGGAATCAAACAATCGATTCCCTTCCAACATATCGCTGGTACGTATGTCCTTGGTCGGCGCAGACACAAAAAAAACAACTAAAAAAGGCCATGCACAAAACTCACGGCCGTCCCTCCCATCTCCAAGGTCTCCTCCATCGCCGCCTTGTCCGCCGCGCGCTCGGCCTCTGTCAGCAGCATGCTGGGGATGTCCGCCTGGTGGTCTATCCCGACGTTCGTCTCCTTCTGTGGGTACTGCTCCAGTTTCGGCGAGTCCAGGCCATCCGCCGACTCCTCTCCCGGGTGGGCCGCTCGGATCAGGAGTCCTCCGCGCAGCTGCTGCTGACACTTCGTCCCCCTGGCCTCCTCGACTCTGACGCTGCCCCCGTCGCCTAGGCCAGTCGCGGAGTCGGCAGGGGGCATGGCTAGACGCCGGGGGCGAGCCGGTCGCTTTGCTGTCCGGTCCCATGACGGCGTGTCCGACGCTGCCTCGTGCGCGCCCGGTTTCGTCGCCGCAGTCGGCTCCTCCGCCTTGATCAAGGCTTCCCCCGCCGCCGCCGCCGCCGCCGCCGCCGCCGCCGCTGTTACTTGACGGCGACGTCCTCGGCGTGTCCTCGGGCAGCCGGCGGATATGATGTCGTCGTCGTCTGCGTCGAGAACGTCGTCTTGACTATCTTCGCTTGTGAACCCGCCTTCGCTGCTGCAGTTGCTGCTCTCGCTGTCGCCGCCCACGCTCACGCTAACGCTGCTGGTGCTGCTGCTGAAACCGCCGCCACCGCCGCCGCTGCTGCTGGTGGCCACACCGCCGCTTCTCCGTCCGCCAAACGCCCGTGTCGGAGGAGCAGCAACTACCAGCCTCGCGCCGCCAAGGCCCTTGCGCTGGGCCCCAGCCCTGCCGCAGTCACTATTGCGCGGACAGCCGTGCGCGTCGCGCAGGCAACCCCCCGCCTTCAGTCTGCCGCTGCCCCCGGCTCGCTCCCGCGCACGGAGTTGCACCACCACGGGGTGATCGGTCGGCAGGATCGAAACCTCGGTGGAAAAGGGGTCGTACGCGCGGGCGAGACGTAAGGTTGCGGTGGCCTCCCCTTCCCTGGCGCGCTTGCCGCGCAACACCTTGCACAGCGTGGGGCTGCGAGGATTGGGCCGCAGGCCCTTGCGAGTGCCCGCGGAAGGCTCCGACTTCGCTTCAAGCTCCCGCTTGGCTTCGCCGTGAGGCGAGGAGGCCACCGCCACCGGGGCGAGCCTCAGGATGTGCGCCGCTTCGATGTTGTCCGTGACAGTGGTCAGCAGGACCTCGTCCTCTGACACGTCTTCTCGCGGGATCTCCGAAGCGCGCAAGAGCCACCGGGCACGGCAATAAGCTATCCCCGTGAACGAGTCTTCCCAGAACGCCTCCACCTGATGATGGAGACGGCGGGGGTAGGGGTAGGGGGGGGCGTGTACGGAAAGGCTCATCAGGCATGTGCGCGGCGGCGTTGGTTTCCAAGAGACGCTGAAATTGCACTGGTGGCGGGAAAGAATGTTTGTTGCTTGTGCGTGACGGTCATGCCCGCGCGCAGATACGATGAGCAGTTTTATAGTGTTGCAACAACCATTACAGTACATGTCACCGCTGAAAGTAACAAAACCGAACAAGAGGAGTCGCACTGGGGGTGTGGAGAGGTGCGGAACTCGATCATTGCAGGCCTAGGCCACGTGTGGAGCCAACGGCAGCCATGCGTAAAGAAGATGAGATACAGAAGTGGCGTCACATGCTGGTGTTCGTGCTGCCCGGTGTTTTATACAATTTGTGTCCTGCTGAAGGCCTGGCCCAGGAAATCACGCCAAAGGATAGGCTGCTGCTGCAAACAAATGATTTTTTTGTCCGGAGCTGCTGCTGGAACACGATGTCTGGACATGAAAGTTTGTCGTACGGCGCCCCGTGTGTGAAACAACCGCAGTGGTAGCGCCATCAGCGCTCTCTGTTGTATCCATTCATTCGGCTACATTACATAATTGGCGGCACAAACAAATGCGCTCGTGACAGCAGCAGTGTAGGTGCGTTTCTGTGGAGTCCCAACACGGCTCAATTATATATATGGAGTGCATTTTTCGCGTTCAAGAATAACACAGAGAATCCGTCTCTATCCATCCTTGTGATTCTGACACTAAGCTCTCGAAAACTAGATGCAATGTACGGGTTTACGCATACATTCATGAGGGAAAGGGTTGGGGGGAAGACAAAACTTCTGCGCACCGAAGGAAGTACGATTGTCTTGTACTTCTATCTTAGTTTCACGGATGCCAGCAATATTTACCCTCAAGCCATGTCGGTTCTAAGATGCCGGCAGAGTCAATTTGGAAAGGAAGGAGCACCTGAAACAATCTACATACACAAAACCGGCATGATGACCAGAGGGAAAAGTAACCCTGTTGTTGTACTTCTGAGAGTGGTATCCGCAAAACTGCACATGTTATTCAATGTCAAGACAGGGGATTTATACGACGGTAGGACGCTGCTGCCAGCTGTGCAGTCGGCGGGAGGGAGACCACCACATTTTACCCGCTGAAAAATATGTCTGGTCTACTCCACTTGAACTTACACATGCATGGTGCGCGCAGCACAGCAGCAGTTGTGAAAGGTTCGAGCCGATTGGAGCACTTCGGCGCACCTGAATACTCAACGGTAGGCGAACAGTGACTACACAGGCACCGGGTAGAGGATCTGGATAAACCGAGCATTGGAGGAAAGGGCTGGATTCCACTGCGCAATTTCACTGCAGCAGGCAAAGAAGAAGCGGGCTTTTTATGCGCGACGGAAAGTTATCAGGCACCCACTTTCTAACGAGGCTAATAGTTCGTATCGACGACACCAGCAGTATCAAGAAACGGCTTCGGACAAGAAATGACACACAGAGAGGAGGAGGGGAACTTTATCGCACTTCCGCACACGCAGGCGGAAATGACGCCCGCATGAAACACTTCTTGCGGAGAGAAGGACAGAGAGAGAGATCAAGGAGAGAGAGTCGATGACAATAGCCTCCACGCACGACACACTCTGTTGTTGGATCGAGGATAAACATACGGTGGCATGCCAATCCGAAAAAAAGACTCAATGATGACAGGCGCCAAAAAAAAATGCAGTCACGCCCGTCCGAAAATCACGACCGGTTGGAACCCGATAGTATGCGTGTACAACGCACTAAAGAGAGGGGTGCCACGTCCATGCTGCTGCCCTGCGGCAGCATGAAGCGCTCCAGAGCAGTATGAACGGGCAGAACGTTTTGATCTCGAAACATTTTCCACGCACAACCTACATACCTGAGCCAGGAAGGGCAAAAGGCCGACGGCGGTATCCTTCGCTGCGCGAACCTCGACAACGTCGTTCAGGGAGACAGTTGTTCGTGACTGCCGCTGCCGCTGCTGCTGCTGCTGCGGTCCTGCCGATGAATCCGCTGATGTTGGTGTCTGCGCACCGGACGAGGGCTGCCCTGCCTTACCCAGCACCACACCGCCGTAGTACCTCAGCCTTCCGCCCAGGTAGCGGACGTTTGAGGCGCCCGGCGCACGGATTGCTTCGCCCAAAAACTGGACCGTATGATCGTCGTGCGGTATCATCTCCATCCGAAGGGAAGTCACGAATGACAAAAGCGAGCGTTTATTATAACCAAGGATCAATCAATTATTCGCCCGTGCGCGTATGTTTACTGCTATGCTGCGGATACCCAAGGATAGCAGGCAAAACCGGAGTCTAGCAACCCCTCCAGGGGTCGGGTTCGTTGGCGGATGAGTGTGAGCACGCCTGTCTGCTGTGTGTGCAACAGACCCCGCTTTTTTTCAGCCGTGTGTGTGATTCCTCTCCCGCAATCTCTCTCCCTTTGAAAAAGAAAGCGAAAAGAAAAAAAGCGAACGGGTAGTCTTTCTGTGAGTTATTATGTTTACTTTCCAGAAATAGCGAACAAATAGTTACGAAAAAATCCTGGCTCCATCACCCTTCGATCCACCACGTGTATAGGAGTCTAAACGGGCGGTGTGAGCTTCAGAGCGAGCTAGACAAAAGGTGGGGGTCATCTTACGCTTACCTTATACATATGCCGCCGCCGCTCGTCGTCGCACGCTCTCTCACAAGACGTCGTTTTCGGCGACACGGGAGACGATACAGCAGAGCTTAGCTGGGGAATCTATTGTACACGTTTGTTACCTACCGAAAGAACGGACGGACCCGGACCAGGACCCCTCTTTTTTCGCCAGATGCGCACCAAAAGGATCCCTCCGACAAGTTTTTGGCATGTGTACTGGTGTCCTCCCTTCATCTGTGCGGACTGCTGTTGCACTTCGAGTTCATGATGCGGCATGCCCGTAGGCGATGAGAGCTGCTCCGCGTGAGAGCCTGCCGTACACAACCACAGACCCCGCACCGCCGATGGAAAGAGCCAGATTTCGTGTGCGACAACCATTCTCCATCGTTTCCCTACAGCAGCCGTTGTTTTCTCTTCGCCTTGACGTTATTTGGGACGTCGTGTGTATGCTTACCTACTATACACGGAGTAGGCGACATGGGATATTGAAATACTACCCTGACCGATTTTCAAAGCTCGATCGCTCCACAACGAGGAGGATGCACAAAAACGATGAGACGAGAGACGAGACGGTCATCCAACGCCGCCGTTTCGGCACCGCCGCAATGAATCTCTGTGGAGTAATCTCGGCCTTTAGACTACAAATCGTAAAAAAAGAAAGGGGTGTGATACAATGATGCGTGCAATGATGTGTCACCTACAGTAGTACTTCTGTCCACGCACGCACGTGCCCACTGCATTGTAATGACAGGTGGATCGAAGTCAGGTATGTAATGTGGTCAAGACGATGACGGGGTTCAGGGACAGGAGACACTTGTGGCAATCCTGACTGTACCCATAGGCAAGTAGCTGAAGGAGAGACTCGACGACCGATGTCGACAGTAGATCGGACGAAAGAAAGGTTCGGGAGGACAAAGAATAACTGGCATTCAGCGCAGTCGTCCATGGATTGCTCTGATGACAACATACTGCAACGACGCAGCAGTCTTCTCCGGTCATGCTGCGTCATTCTTAGTTCCAGCAACTATGATGCAAGGAAGTACAACGGACCACTGCGGCAACATGGAGCACGCGGTGGGGCACCGGTAGTCCGAAATTCACAGGCCGTGTGCTTGGTACAGTTCCGGCCACCACAAAAGAACTTTGGCAGTTCAGAATACAGATAGGCCTTATTCATGAACTAGCAAGTCCCTCTAGAAGATAGAAACTATAGCTTGGTGATACCCACAGAGGAAACAACAACTCAAGGGATGCGAAAAAATAGGGACCGGTACCCGTACTTGCGGCATGACCAAGTAGTATAGGCAGCATTCCGCGAATGGACCTCTCAGCCCACAAGAACATCACTACCACCGTATATCACTCATTCGTTGCAGCCAAGCAGAGTCATTCAACACGAAAAACAGAAAGCACAACCGTCCATCGTGGGGCGGTCCGCAACAACAATTTTCACACCCAGAACTTGGGTGGAAAAAACATGGGGAAGAAAAACAAGAACATTAATATTTGTTGCGCAGAGTGGTCCGGAAGCGCCCATCATGCCGATGGCGACAACCGTGGTACCAACCCGAACAAAAACATCGCCACAATGGACAGTGCCCCCACGCTGCCAGCCGCCCTGCCACCCGACAGGGCATGCGAAAACGACGAAGGCCACAGGTAATCCGGCGAGAAAGATATCAACGGCCGTCCCCACATGAGCACCACCATGGAGCCATACACACACACCTGCCGCGGGCGGAGAGGGCGGGGGGAGGGGTGGACGGGGGCGCAGTAGGGAAGGCACGTGAATAACGGACGGGCAGCGAGCGGTTCCATCATTGAGATCGTGAGCGATGCGAGGGTTCAAGAAACAAGATTATCACAGCACACGTTACATCAACCCTGGAAGGCTTGAGAGGATGGTGTCGGGAAAGGAACAAGCGATCTGGAATCCCATGCGTGAATCCTACATCATGCCTCACTCGTACGGCGCGCACGGCTTTCGCCACGGACTTGAGCCTCCTGTCCCTCGCAGACTGAATCCTCTCGAGATCCTTCTCCGCCTTAAGCAAGAGGCGTTTGAGCTTGGAATTCTCGACGAAGGTCGCCGTGTAGTTTGTCTGCGAGACAGAGAGGCGAGAAACACAAGCGGGAGGAAGGTTGGCAAAAGAACTGTCAGGGGAGAGGACAGTCAAGCAACGCTCTGGATCCCGAAAGAAAGCCCAGCGAGACACTACACTAATCAAAGTGATATGGAAAAACCACCGTGCTTCACTGACGGTCCTGTTCTCTCGCTGCCCCAACACATCCCAGTGGCTACGCCAAGGGCAAACGTGATCCCAAACAAGGGTCGGCAGAAAAATTGTTCTCGCACCTTGGCAACTCCTGACCTCAGGGTTTGGCGTTGCGATATCAAAGCAGCTTCTGTTCGTGTCACCCTCGATGTTTTCCACATGACGAACCCAGCCACCACCTGGAGCAAGCGACAACCGGCAGTGGGTATGAAAAAATCACTCCACCAATACGCAAAGAATGAATAACCCGTGTGCTTGGACAAGCGGGTTCGCATGTAGCTGGTTCCGGACTTTGTGCTGTGGCCGTTGCACTGCAGTCCACCCCCTGTCGTCAACAGTTTTCCACAGAGTTCTAACACAAAGTACGCGTGTTCAGCGAAGACGATCACGAGCACCAAACGAGCGAAAGTCTCGAGTGAGCACCCTCAAACGGTTTGTTGAGATCAAGAATCGCAAAAAGCACGCAATCACATGACACACATGCTCATGGTTCACGCAGCTTTTGCAACGTTGCGGGCGGTCGAGGAATGGAACGGCCACCTCCACGCTACCATCCACTAGGAGAAAAGGAGAATCGGCATATTACTCCCCGGCGTGTTGGACTCGGCGACGGCGCAAGAACTTGCTCAAGCACCTGGAACAACTACAAATTACCTCCCGAGACACAAGGTTGGAGATTCAGTTGATTCCTTGGAGCAACTGCTGCTGTACATTGAGTTTGACTCCTCGGTGCTACAGTATGTACATTGACCTCCACAGCAGTAGTCGCTCTGCACGTATCCAGGTCTAACGCTCTTGCTGCCTGTGACGGCGTTGTACACGCACTTCGAGCAAGAATATCCCCCCTTGAAATAAAGTAAGCCTCACCTCCACAAGAGAGCACATCATCACCACCAGAAAGAGGGTGTCAACGCTCACAGCCGTCACCGATGGCAAGTGAGGCGAAGCGCCCACCATGCCTGCCATGATGTGTACGCTCTCTCGATTATTTCGCGCTTTTCAGTCGGTCGTTCAAATCCCCCCTGCAGCGCCTAAGCCGCCCGTTTGTAGCTGTCAACGGCATGTTTTCGAGACCAGAATGAAACGAGCGGTAGGGAGGGTTATGTTCCGAGGGGCCATTGGGGCAGCGCTGTGGGCGGAAAAGGAGGTCTGGCTGCGGCACAATCGAAAAAAGACGCCGCTACAAAACGTACGGATTTCAGAATAGATACACAGCCGGGGGGTCATCGAAGCTCTCCCACGCATGGATCAGAACTTTCCTTCAGATTAACCAAGCAGTAGTTTCCGCCCAGCTGCCAGACGCCAACTTTTGGTCAAACGTTCAACGCGGATTTGTCTCCCTGCGATCGCTACCACTGTGTGCAAGCAGGTACGCACGTGGCAGTTCAGCTGCGACTCATTTCGCTACGTGCATAACATCCTCCTTATCCCTATCAACCTCAGTTCTCAAGATCGCAATACATCCGATGGTCATACCTTTGAGGACGAGTGAAGCCCAGCAACACGCAAGAGCAGAGAGAGCAGAGAGCAGCGGGTGTGACAGCCCAAGCGAGCGAGCTGGTGTGGCTAGGCTGTAGTGGACGTTCTACTCTGCGTGGCCCCCTACAGTACTGCTAATCCCGCCGCACCTGCAGTCTACCATACCTTGGCCAGCAGGAAACCTACACATAGCACTGCAGTCTGCACACTGCCCCCCTGCCTCCTTCCTGTCTGTTCTCGCCACCCATACACGATGAGAGAGCGATGGCGCACATTGCCTCTGGTTTTATTGGTGACACATGTCCTGCTTCTCGTCGTAGCCCACAAGGATTCAAACGGCATGGTCGCCTTCGGTACAGCAGGAACGGCAACCAGGATTGCTCCACAACTCGTCACAAGCATGCGGTGCCCTACACCAGCAGCAGACTTGCCACGTCCCAGAAGAGCTGGCGGAGGAGGGCGGCAGTACAGGCTAGTAGCTGCTGACCCGAGAACAGGCGCACACGACCGGCTTGGGGCTGCAAGTATAGATGATCCGCCGCACCACGTCAACGAGGGGCAAGAGGAACCTGAGCAGCAGGACGCCTGGTCCCGTGCGGGGTGGGCAGGAGAACGAAACGCAAGGCCACCCAACAGCAGCGGCGAGGCAATGGTGGGGTCGCCTGAGTTCGTGAGCCTGGTCAAGGCTCAGTTCGAGGTGCTCGCCACGGTGCTGGGAGCGGATCGGGTCGTGCTGTATGCGAGAAGAGAGAGCACCGAAACGGGTGAAGACTACACGCTGTCAACGTCCATGATTTCCGACTCATGCTCCTTCTTTGCTCATGGCAATCAACCAACACTCGTGCCTGTCGATCGCAGGTGCCGCGATCGGGTTCGAGATAGACCGTCGGTTACTCGCTGAATCTTTCGTTCACATTGAATTTTGACCGTGGTAACTATACAACAGTTCCGATGTCACACGGCCCGCTTGCCCTGCATGTTCAAGTTGGCCTGCTTGCCCTCGTCGGCTCTCAACCCCTCAACCTCGACTGGACGGAACACCACAGGTTCCTTGGAGTTTGTTCCTGCCATGGAGTATCCCGAGAGGCCGCCGCCTGCGTGGAGCATGGACATTCACGGTGTCCAGACGCATGAGCACCATGCTAGCAGCGAGCTGTTGCTCCCGGCAGCCACCGGGCACGAGATGAATGCCGACTCCCCCGATGCGGTGGAGGGAGGAGACGGTGACCTCAGCGCTCCCATCGTGTATTCCTCTTTATTGCTGGGAATGATGACCGTTTTCAAGAACGGGAACGGCGACGGCAAAGCTAGGCAGCCTTCAACACGGGAGAACTCTGCCCCGAAGAACATCGAAGAAGCTCGAGTTTTGTGGGACGAGCGGGTGAGTGTGTGGATGAGGATTTTTGAGGGCAGACGTTTTGAATCAAGCTCCACATGATTGTTGTCTTTGATCTGTGCATGCAATCGCGTCGTTTGGAATAGGGGTTTAACTCGGTTATCTGCTTGCTGCTTATTCAACAGGTGTCGCCTAGATCTTCAAGAAGCTAATGGGACATTGCCATCTCGTGAAAACTGTATCTATCACGTAGAAGCGCTTCTAGAAAAGAAGGTCCGGGCCGCGGATGGTTGCCGTCCATTTTTTAAAGGCTCCACTCGAGGTATCGGTCTCGCAAGTAGTGCCTACTGCACGTCGAGAGTACAAAAGACGATACGGACACGTCCTTTATGGCCGCATGCTTGCGCCTGCGGTACAGTTCCAGGCTCGCTAAGAGAGAGCAGCAGTCTTCCATGAAGGTCGGTCATTCAACCCCCAGGTCCTGTTTGTGTGTGACATTCGACGGTGTTGCACCAGGACAAAAGGCTGCTGGAAACAATTGCCAGGTCGGTGGGGGTGGCTGCTGTCCTCGACCAAAAGCAGAGGTGGGCGGCTGTGATGCAAGTCGAGCCGCTGAGGAAGGTTGTGGCGGAGTCTCTCCACCAGGTGAGCCAACCTGCGCCGCCCGGTGCCCTCTGTGACATGTGGCCCGACCCTGTGCTGTAGACGGTGGGAAGCACGCTATGCGTCGCCCGAGTTGTTGTGTAAATGCTTGCACTACCCGTACACTCCGTTTAAGCTTCATCTGGGACGACTCTTTGCCTCTGCGCTTTCATTGTCAGCCAGGAATATACCGTCTCCGCAGGCGTTGCTGTCGTATCGATGTTGCTGCTGCGGGTATCCAAGACAATAAGTTGGCACCGTTGGTTGCCTCACGATTTGTCACAGCTTACAGAGAAACAGCGAGAGGTTCATCCCGCCACACGTGAGTGTCCTGTCAGATCCATGTTCATCGATAACAAGCTTGCTGTACCGTGTGACACCAGGTAAAGAATCCCATGACGGCGTTGAGGACGTTCGGCAAGTTGCTGCTCAGAAGGCTACCCCAGGACGACACGCTTAATCGAGAGCTGGCGAAGGACATTATTCTGCAGGTATCATATGGGGGCGAGTGTTGGGGCTTTCGCTACCGTTGCTGTCTACTTAGTATCTTTGCCTGTGCAACACTTGGTGTTGCGGCGGTGTACACTCTAGCTGAAGTTGTTGCAATTCCAGCATGAAATCACGCGCCGAGATGGCAGTATCACGTGTCACACAAAAACTAAGTTTCAAACGTTTGAGCCCTGTGGGCAGCATTGTAGGTGCTTGTGGTTTGCATACCTCGTGAGCGTGTACGGTATGTTCCTGTATTCGTGGTACATTGCGTATTCATCATCCAAACGCCTGCCTCAACTCCTAATTACTCCCCCCACCTACCCCCCCACCCACCCCCTCTCTCTCGTTCTCTGTGCTTTGATGGAGGCCAGTCTGACCGCCTCGTGGACATACTTCTGCCAGTAGACGCGGTGCTCGGCCTGCTAGCCACGGCCGTCGAGCGAGAGCGAGAGGTGCAGATGTCAGGCATGGTGGACCCACATGCGGCCCAGAGGGAGGATTTCGCAGCCACCTCCGCTGCCGCCGCAGCAGCAGCAGCAGCAGCTGCATCTTCCGCTGTGGATAGCACCGTCGACGGTATGGGAGTAGCGGCAACACAGGGTTTGCAGGGGGCGTCTGCCCTAGCACCTAGTCTTGTCCTGTTCATTGGCGGAGGGGTTCAACAGCAACACGTTCCGCCTGTATCTTGGACAATATTCGTAAGGGCTCGCGTGTTGTCCAGTGGTGAAAGTCCGTGCTCCCGCTCGGGCTGTTGTCGCTTTTTGTCCGCGGCAGGGGTGCAGGACGCTCTGCTGTCGCCACCATCGCCGACCGGGATGGAGGAAACAATGGCATACGAGATGATGCCGTTCGGGCTTCTCTCCGTGGAAGACGTCATCCAGCCGGTTACCAGGGCGGCGCAAGCGGCCGCCAAGGAAAGGTGCGGCGGAATATCAAAAGGCAGCTAGAAGCAACCGAAACAGCGATGTGGTGGTGGTGGTGATGGTACCTTTCGTAGAGGTGCTAGGGAGCCAGCCCTAGGAGCGCAAGCAAGGTTGTCCGGCCTACATCATACCAGGTGCCAATTTCGGATTAGGACACCCTTGCGTAAAATCTTACCAGGGCCCTGTCCCACGTTCAACTCGGGTGTCCTTCCCGTTGGCGAGGTATCGGGTGTGGGAAGTTTGTCCGTACCCTCCGTGTATTACGTCGCATGATTGCACGTATGTACGTGTGCTACTGATGGCGCGGTATGCGCCCCTGCCATTAATTGTGCGCGTCACGCTGCACAACGTTGTCGTGTTCGCCGCGCGCTCGTGGCTGCGGTGACACATCGGGTGTGACTTTGTTATTGTACAGTTAGCGCCCGCACTTAAACAAGTTGGCAGTTAACCACTTAATGCTCACTAGTTAGGGGTGTCAAAGCGGCGGAATTTGGGGCCAAAAAAACGTCCGGTCCATTCGGCAAAATTTGAGGGGGGCACGCGGATTGGGGTCTTGTTTTGGTTCTTGAGAATCCCGCTGTTGATACTGAATAAACTATACATCATGTCAATTTGTTTGTGCAGGCAGCTCTGCGTCCAGACAGCAGCGTTGCTCTTCCTGCGTTACACACACCTGGACACAGGTCCAATAGAGGTGACTGTAGGGTAGGTTTTCTCTTAATGTTAAAGGGCGGATGAACAACACCAAAAAATATGTTTTTTTGGGCTCTTTGCTCCACGCCCAAGGCGACCTTTGCTCCTCTCGTGGAAGTGACCCTACAACTCTCTACCTTGGGCTTACAGCTTTACCACACAACAAACCGCATCCGAATCGCATCAGCCAACCACGAGATCTACATGTCTGAAAACGGCCCCTCCAGNGGTAGGTTTTCTCTTAATGTTAAAGGGCGGATGAACAACACCAAAAAATATGTTTTTTTGGGCTCTTTGCTCCACGCCCAAGGCGACCTTTGCTCCTCTCGTGGAAGTGACCCTACAACTCTCTACCTTGGGCTTACAGCTTTACCACACAACAAACCGCATCCGAATCGCATCAGCCAACCACGAGATCTACATGTCTGAAAACGGCCCCTCCAGTGGGGCTGCAGCGCCCACACCAGCAGACCCTCCCAAAAAAAAAAATCGAGGTCCGCGCCGTTCGGCAGCAGGAGGCGCGCTGCGCGAAAGCTGAATCAAAACAAAACGAAGTTTGAAGAGAGGACGGGGCAGTGTATGGTTGCCGCGTCGGCAGAAGATAGCACGCGGTGCGCTATCAAACGCGGCAGCCTCGCCGTCGTAGAGAGAACGCCGGAGGAAACGAAGGAGGAGTTGGTCAAAAGTAAGAAAATTGTGGAAGAGAGCCAGGCTCAACCTCGCTGCCGCCGCCGCCGCCGCTGCTGCTGCTGCTGCTGTTTTTTTCAGCAGCAGCAGCGGCGGCGGCAGGTGTCTGCGTGGCTTCACCGCCCGGCTGCTGCTCGGGTGTGTCATGAGGCATGTGTTCTAGAGTGGGACCGCGCAAAAGTGTTGTGCTGTGCCCCATAGCAGGGCGCAAAGCACACAGGCGAGCTGCGCCCTCGCGCGTGTGCGTCAGAGGGTCTTTTCGGGAGGTTCCGACGGTTCCGTGCAATTTCATTCGTTGGTCGATTTTCCATCAGCAAGATCCGAGGACGCTTTTTCGAATTTTTTCCTATTGGAAATTTTCCGCTTTGACACCCCTAACTGTTGCATCAGTACATCTGAAGATGAGCACCATTTGTGACCCCGATTAAGAACCCCTACACTAAGAACCATGGCATTCCTATCCCTACAGGAACTAAGAACCCCAGCCTCGACCAAAACTAGAGGTTTTATCAAGTGCAGGCACTATCTGTATCCTTCCGGCTGGCGTCTTTCCCTGCCCTACCGGCGGCTGCGTGCTTCCATGCTCCGCACTACATAAGCGAGTGTTCCCTGTGTCCTACGAATTTTAGTATTTGTAGTTCACTCCCGTCACCCTGTCGAATGCCCGTGGAACCATTTGGCCGAGGTAATACAACCGAGCTCTTTTCGGTCATGTAGTGGGAGCACCGAAGCTCGCCGTGTCTGTTAGTCGGTTGCAAACCTGCCGTGGACGGGCATCGCGACGAGCGTTCTCTACATGCTTTGCCCCTCTTCGATACGTATCGAGCGTTGCTATCCTTCACCACGTAGGGTTTGCTTCTTCATGCGGCCCCTACACCCCTCTGCATTCTTCGGTACAACATATCGAGCGTTTCTTTCCTCAGCGACCGACGCTGTCTTGGTTTCATGTCGCAGGCGGGTCGGCTTCAGGTGGCGGGTGGACCAAGATCTTCCCGAAGTCATTGGCGACGAGCGGGCCTTGAAGGTACGGACGATACTGTTGCTGCTGTACCGCCACTCTTACCATCCGAGAGCATCGGGCGGAGGATCTATCAATTGCTCCATCGCTTTTGTGTCGTTAATCTAGCAACCTGTGGAGCTTGGAGCTAGGACGTTGTATGGCGGACCTTTGTCCCCCTTATTTCTTGTCAAATTGGCTGTTCGCTGTCTGTCCAACTGTCTTCGTTTTAGAACATAGTTCATGTATACAGTTTTTTTCAAAGAAAACATACATGTTCTTGTTGTGTTTCTTTCCTGGCTTTGACATCGATGATGATCGAGAACAACGATACTTGACATGAACGATGCTTGACATGAACGATGCTTGACATGAATGATGCTTATATCAACGTTCGATTCAATCATGAAAATATCATCAGTATGTCGCCTTTTGTGCGATCCCCTCTCAGTTTTATACCTAGCTTTCCGCCATGGACAGCACCCTGCTGCAACAGTCTGTCGACCAATAGACCGCATGTTGCCGACACTGATAATACTTAACAATGCACCTGGCCGTTGTGCGATTGTCAGCGATGCCCGACATCAACGATACATCCCAGGTTTTATTGTTTTGTGGATTTGTTGGTTAACGGTTGCATGAAGAAACATTCGCTAGACATGCTGCCCTTCTTTTGCCATTTCACGTACACTGTACAGCTAACACCCAGGTTCGCGGGTACATGTCTTGCTTCGATGTCCTCCTGTTCTCTGCCTGGTTGGCTCCTCGACACACGAAGCGCGTGCCAGGGGGTGTCAACCTTTGGCGCGCGTTATGCACCACGTCTGGCGCGTCTGTCTGTTGATGTGCTGTCTGATGCCGGCGATCGTTCGTTGTGGTTTCAGGAGGCCTTGTCCAACGTCGTGGAAAACGCGCTAAAGTTCTGCAAGATGGGGCGCGGCGAGGGTGGGAAGGACGGGGGGGTTCGTGCGACGGTGGTCTTGAGGGCCCGCCTGAGCGTGGAACCCGAGTGGGCAGCCGAGAGGTGGGCGTCGCGGGCAGCAGCGAACCGTAGAATGCACGACGTAAGATATCACGCCCCCTGGATCGGTTTTTCGAAGCTCGGTTACTGGGCAGGAAAGCCAGTCGCGGTAATGGGGGCGTTGGAACCGTTTCGATGAGAGCTTTCCGACAACTATCCTTTGATACGTGCATCCTCTTCGTCGTGGAGGAATCGAGCTTTGAAAATCGGTCCAGGGCGCGCTATATCTTTCGCAACCCATGTAGCTTCAGCGCACACCAAAACATTTCGCCGTCTCATTGTATTGTAGCTCGTGGTTGCCTATCTCTTCCGTATCTGACACACGAGGTTTTTTGTTTGAACAGCCGCCTTCCTCCCGGTGCGTGTGTTCTATGGGGGATTTTCCTGCTAATGTGGCTTTGGTCCTATAATAGCGACATGAACGAGTTGGAGCTGTTGATTGTACTTGGAGATTTCAGGCGTGCACTTACCCGTACGACCGGCCGTGCCTGGCGGAACAGTATTCTGGTTCTTGAGCCCCCGTTCTTCAGCAGCAGTGCCTAGCAGATCGCACAACAAGCTCGATCACCTTTCCCTCTTTGCTTAGGGACTACTTTTCCATGTGTATCATCACTTTGTTTTTGGCTTCGTTTCCCCGCCTGGCCCTTCGAACACCTGTTTCGCGACACCCCAACTATCTGTCTGCCATCTGCGCGCTTACTGCGTTCACAGCGGTGTTGTTATAGAAGTCGTGGACAACGGCCCGGGCATCGAAGCAGAAGACATGCCGTACATCTTCGACCGCGGGTACAGAGGGAGGCAGCCGTTACAGTGCGGCATTCCGGGGACGGGCCTCGGCCTGGGCATCGCCAGGGACACGATGCGCTCGTTCGGCGGGGACCTTGAGGTTGTGAATATGAAGAGGGACACGGATGGTGATGATGATGCCGATGGTGACGGGAAGGATGGGGGCTGGGGGACCGGGGTGAAGCTGTACCTGCCGAGGGGGGAACGAAGGAGATCAGAGGGGGGGGAATGAAGCCGGACAGCTAGCGTGGATGGACTGGCGCCATGTATTCGTGGAATTCCGACGGTCGGACTGCTGGCGCAACGCACAGATGGGTGGTTGTACTTGTAGTGGCTCTTGGTGGGGCCGAAGGTGGTTATTTAGTCTTGTTGGGTGGGTAGCGGTGACGTGTTAGTTGTTTGTTGCGTCGTTTATACGGAGTGTCTCTATTTTGTCTGGGGCAGGAAAACCGATTTGTACAGCATTGTTAGTGGTTATTTCGTGGGGTGGATAAGGCGATTCGCCAGGTACCATTACCTGTTCCGCAATGTGGAGGGCGACCCAGGACCCGTTCCGGGAGGGTGCCACTGATTCTATCTTCGAAGCCAACGCCCACCACGAAGCAATCGATGGGTGAAACGAGCTGCCATGGTTCGGGGTTCTTAACCCCTTTGGGTCTTGCCTTTTCTTTTTTCGGCAAAAGAAATAATTGGGAGGAGGAGAGAATGCGGGAGAGAGAGGCAGAAGTTGCAGAAAGAGACGTGTGTGCTTCTGCAGACGGAACAGCTATCTCCACTCATAGGCCATGAGGGCTGCCCGCGACAGGGCGGTGGGCACATACAGGATCACGGAAGGGTAGCGGTGCGGCCGGCAGGGCAGGTTAGGCTTGTAGACCTCGAAAAGATTCAGTCGTCAAGCAGCCTAAACTAGTCTATGTTTAGTATTTTCAAATGATCAGTGAAAATGATCAGTGAGAGGGCTTGTAGAACCATAGCTGGTTTTTGTACTTCTGTACTTCTCTGTCCCCTCCCCAATATGATCCCTTCCGGCTCACTACAGCTCCTGTGATTTTCCCACAATTCCCACAAGCACGCAGGCACACCACAGCACACACCTACCTTTGCATCAGTGGCTCTTGAGGTTCGGGCGAGGGTATGTGTTGGGCTATGATGATAGTGTATGTGTTACTACTGTATGTTGGACTCGTCTATATTGCTGCTGCTGTATAGTGTAGCTGCTGACACGATGACTGCTGGATCTTGGGAGCGTACGATTTTCAAATTTGGAGGATATGCAGCATACCACCATCATATCCTGGCCTGGTTGGGCTTGAATTGAAGTGCCCCTATTCGCTGTCATCTTGTCTTTCCTTGAGTGGCTTCCTAGATTCGGGCGAGGGCATGTGTGTGGAGCTTTTGATGTGTGCCTCTGTGAAAGGATATGGCGAGAGATTCATGGTGGCATATGCATTTCGAGCAGTGTACATTTTTCGAATTTTGGCCGTTCCAGGGACCCAATATTACCCGCTGGCACTGCTGTGACGTCTTTGCATTGGTCACCGGTAGCGCGGTCGATGCGAATAATAAAGACACACCTACCTATTGACTTGCCAACACCTGGCGTGGAGGGATAGTGGTCGCGCGACTCCCCCCCAAAATATGTCGAATGGCTGTGCCGGAACTGTTGTGCCTTGCCGGTTTTCTCGAAAGCTGGTGGTGGTGGTTCGCCCGACCCAGGGAGGCTTTCGTGGACCAAGTTTTGGTACTCTCACTCAGGCAACTGCTGTGCGCTATTCGTGATTGCTTCATTCACAGCATTTTCTAAGACAGTCGGTTATTTGGCGAGGCCTCTTTGTGACTTTGTGCGTTTGTGCCAGGGGCTTAATCCTAACAGTGAGAGTCAATACTACTGCTGTCGCATTTGTGTTTGTTCAGCGAGAAGAAGCGAGGCCATTGGCTTTTCCATCCCCCCCACTTGTCCACAAACGATGATAGTCTATAGACCAGTCTACAGTCTAGGTCCTACAAAAGTATCCTACCCATCTTTCTGTGCTTGAAACGGTAGGGGGGGGGGGATCCCCCCCACCATATTTATGTCATTCGTCCGCAAAGTGGCGGCGAAAGTAGAACCGACGGCCACACCGGAAGCAGAAAAAAATGCTTGCTCCTCATTGCTTTGGATCAATTCACTCAGCACTATGGACTCTGCATCAAGATATCTCTCTTCGTAATTTATCCCTACCGATCTTTCTTTTCAGTTGGAAAAGGAATAATCCAACGTGTGTGGGGCGACACATTTCAGCACTCGACACTTGGGCGAGAAAGGACTCGATAAAACGCATGTGGTGCTTATCATTATTTGTGTGGGCCACCCGTGTCGTCGCGCCAACGCTACGCACGGCAGACGGGGACGACGCTGTACGCTGTAGTAGCGTCAAGAGTCACCGGGGGGCGCGCCTATCGGCGTAAATGTGGGTACCCACCCACCCATGCACCAGTTTCAGACGATACCGCGGCGCCTAAAGCTACTGTCAGGATCACACAGCACAGCAGTGCGCGCTGTGAGAGCTTGAGGCATACCAGACCGGCGTCAGCTATGGCTAATGATCTTCAGCGGTGCTTGAAAACCAATTGGGGGCATGAGAGATTCAGGCCATATCAGCAGGAGGTATGATATATCCCGCACATCACGAGTTCGTCATGTAATGTGAACAGCAAAGTACATAGTAGTCGACAGCAGTGTTGCACGCCATTGACCTCAGGGCGTGCTGCGTTGTCAACTATCATAGATGTGCCTGCTGCGGCCTCATCTGTGGATTAGGATGGTGTCAGGTCACTAATGGTAACGATGATTGCCTGCAATACTCCTTTCACCAATGGCAGTCGTGCCGTGTTTGACAACACCAAGCATGCATGGGCCCGCAAATTTTTGAAGTTAGATTTGAAATCCTTCCGTCTCTTTAACATTATTGTTTAGGAAAGCAGCCGCATCCTGGCGTCCGTTGCATGCTTCAACCACAGCAGTATGCAGCATAGGCCCACCAGAACGAGTGTGCTGTGTTCAGGAGTGGCATGCAAACGCCCGGTAGGTACCAGCCCCGGCGACCTCGTGTTTGGTGCCCTACTGTAATGCAGTGATCTTCACCGGGGTATTGCATGAATGCACCACAGCAGCAGTTAGCGCTAATGGTACCTGATACGGTCTGTAGGGGATAGTCCCTCTACAGCATCCTACATTACATGTTACTACAGCAGATCTTGACAGGGTGCGCCAGCACTCAAGAAGTTGGTCATCGAGAGATTGAGGCATTTGATTAAGCACAAACTGGAACCCACCATCCTGCATACAGCAAACCGGCCATCATATGCGGTATGCAGCACCAAGTCGTAGCAGCCGTTGTAGCGCCTGCTGGCTTCCTTGCAGAGAAAACAAGGAGCGACTGTCGCGGAGCAAAACAAGGGCTTCTTGGGTGGCACGTCCCTGTACGTGATGTGCGTAATAGCTCTGTCATCGTTGATGCGTTATTGTTTGGTTCAGGCTTTGGGCCACTCGGTTTCGGAGATTCCCCGTGCCCCGCCTCCGGTCTAAAGGATATATCGCGGAGTAATACCGCAGGGGTTGGTGACGGCAAGGTAAAGAAGCCAAGGTCCACAGACCAATGAAGCCAACAGAAGGATTTCGAACTCGAGCCAAACAAACACCATCACAGGTCTGGTAGACGGTGTATCACCTCGGAGACTTTGTAGCGACTAGGCCCGAGAGTTTCAAGTGTCGGCTGATATTCCCGCGTTCCGCTCCCATGTACATAGCGGAAAGCCTCTGAACTTGTTGTTCGTGAGTACCCTGAAGGACGTGCACACTAAACATCCATTGTTTGTCACCTCCTTGTTCTCCTTTTCTTATCCGTATTCTTCCCGCCACGTCTGCTCTGGAAGCCAGCAGTGCACCTTCTGGTGCATGTCTAACAAAATATACCGGCCGGGGTCATTCCACCGGAGGCGATCTCAACCTTTCTCCGGCCGCGCTTCCCTTCGATATTAGACTCTGCAGACCTCCAAACTACAGTGTTAGACATGGAAGCTCCACAGGACCCGTAGATTCCGATTCCCCCAACAAGGAGAACACGAATCCCCGTGATCGCTCGTCGCCTTGTGCATCCCGTTCATGTTCGCTGATTGTCGTAGGATGCCGGCACACGCCCGTGTGCTTGTGCCCCCCCCAGCTGACGCGTTACGTGCGCGAGAGCTTTGAGGGTACCGCTAGCGCCCGCGATGAGTAGACCTTCAGCAAGCTAAGGTTCAGAAAATTTTGATACATTAGAAAATCGGCCAAGGAACACACTAAACTCCCAACTATGGCCTACTGCTGTGCTCAACAGCGGCGACGAAGTTAGAAATTTAGCTTCGACGACCCCAAATTGACGTTTCTTAAACGCGGGTGCTAACTGTGAGCCTCGTTGTGTGCTTGCCATGCCTACGCAGGTGATCCAAGCTGCCATGGCAGGCAGAGATACCTTCGTGCTCATGGCCACGGGCTCGGGGAAGAGCATCTGCTACCAGCTTCCTGCAGGCACGTCCCCCCCCTCCCCTCCCCCCTCTTCTTTGCTGTTTTTCATTTTTCGTGTTCGTTGTCCTCTCTCCCCGGCCACACCAACGAACTGAACTCGAAAATTTCGGCAAAATTCGGTCTCACCCAAACTTGCCGGACATGGTACAATCATGGATACCTCCCTCGTTCCCGTCGTATGCCATACAGATTGAACGTTCTAGTCGATGTTCAGCCAAGGGAACTTAAGCATACCTGATCGGTAGTGTTGGCGCTATCTTCCCGATCGCCCATTTGATATGCCTGGTAAGAAGAAAATCACTCTCTTTTTCCAACCGGCGTTGTCGGCGGCGTGTCGGCGCTTCCTGTCATCGCCTTGGGGGAATTCGACCGCCAACCAAATCATGCGCCAAGAATGGTTTCAGAATCTCGGCTTAACCCATACCTTAGAACGGGGCTTAATGCATGCCTCATACCTTGGCACAAGAGCCATTAGTCACGAACCAGCCTTTTTTTCGTGGCTCTCCGACTAAACTCCATTTTGCGTGACCCGAAAATAACTGCCGTATGTCCCATCACATCCCGTTACGATGTCGAACTATATTCAATTCATCGTGCCCCGTTGCAACTGCTGTCGCATGTATTTCCCTCACGCCTCGCGCCTATGTCGAACTACACTTCGTTTTACGTGTCCCGATTTATCTGCCGTTTGTAGCCCCCATCACATCCGGTTACGACTTGGAACTACATGCCATTTCACATGGGCCTTTTTTAACGGTCGTATGCATTCCCCTCACGTCTTGTTCCATGGGTGATATCCTGTACCGACGGCAGTGATGCAGCGGCGCGGACAGACCGGCACCGGACCCGTGACACTCGTCGTATCTCCGCTAATCTCCCTCATGGAGGACCAGGTAGCGATTGGCTTCGGTTCGAAGAGCGAAGCCCCCCGTTTTGCCAGCATAAACGGGGACAATGTGATGGGTTTATCAGAAAATTACAAGGATTAGGATGTTTTGTTTTTCGGGAATATTTTTGTTATATCACCGTTACCTGTAGATATGTTGTTGCTAGGGCGTCCTCTTGCCTTTTTTAAGGCCCTGTTAGAGACTTTGCTGAGGCAGACGGCACGTACGTGTTGGGGAGCGTGCCAAGAAAGGTGTCTGTCAAACCTCTTTCCATAGTTGATACGGCTCTCTCTCTTATACAGGGACACACTATCTCTCTGCTTGCCTGCCTGTTTGCTCTCTCCCTCCCTCTCCTCTCTCTGTTTCCCTGTCTGCCTTTCTCTCGCTCCCCCTCATCTCGCCTGTTTCGCTCGTTCTCTACTTTGACCACAAAAAGAACTTGCTCTCTGCATGTTGCGTTTTTCTCGCTCCTGTCAAGGTGCTCTCCTTGGCCAGCAACGGCATCTCGGCCTGTTTGGTGGGGGGTTCTTCTGACTTGAGGACCGAGGAGAAGGCGATCAAGGGGGACTACCCGCTGGTCTTCGTCACGCCGGAGAAGGTGTGATGTCTGTCTGTACTGCTGTCTTTTTTCTGTCGAACTAAGTGTCTTGCTAACTCGTCGCTATCAAGGGAAAACAACTGGAACGGTTTTGCGCAGCGACAGCCATTAAAGTATTTTCGCCCCCGTGGTTTTGGTTTGCCTAGACTGGGCGAGAGAAACCAGCAGAAGGGGTTTTCGTAAACGCTGGCACGTGCACACAGATCCCATTTCATTTTTCGACCCCTCTGCCGTGCACTGTACCAATGTCTTCTATCTACCGGGCCGCTTGCCCCTTTTTTCTGCCGTCGCCGTCTGTTCGACGCGACATATCTGTGTTCGTCGGTGTGTGGCTGTCAAGATGTTCGGGTGTTGCCCGCGAATGGTAGCCATGTGTGCAATCTGTCGGGCCCCTTGCCCCTTCCTTCCGACGTCGCCGTCTGTTTGGCACGATATATCTGTGTGTGGTTGTCAAAGTGTCCGGGTGTTGACCACGAAAACCATGTCCGTTGTCTGTCGGGCCCCTTGCCCGTTCCTTCTGCCGTCGCCTTCCTTGCCGTATCTGTCTGTTTGCCGCGACATGTCTGTGCCCGTCGGTGTGTGGCTGTCAAGGTGTCTGGGTGGGACCACGGCCTGAAAGCGATGCAAGCGGGGCCGGGCCTTGCCTTGATCGCGGTGGACGAGAGCCACTGCGTGGCGGAGTGGGGCCACGACTTCCGACCCTCCTATCTGGAGCTACGCTCCCTCAGAGACAGGTTCCCGCAGGTACCGTAAGGATGAGCGAGATGGCGTGTTTCGAAGAGATGGCACCGGGCAGCGAACACAAATGTAACGAAAGAAAAAACTGAAATTCAGATCGCACCCGGTGCCATCTCTCGCATCGTTTTGGGGGGGAATTTAGTTGGCCTTTGACGAAGGAAGGCGTTCGCGTCGTTTGAACCGATACAGGTGCTACCGCAGGTACTTCGCAGAAATCGGAACGGCGAAATAGATATTGCCTACGACCTAAACGTGTTTGAATAGAGGTTCGAAGTACACTCGGCAGCGATGTCTTCGGGCTTGCGTTTTGTGTGCAACAGCCTCGCACTGGCAGAGACGTGTTCCTACACACCGGTTCATGCGTGTGGACTTTCATTTTCGTTGTGTAAAAGGGGTTCATATCTAAGTACGGTCCGACCAGTTAGGTTTCGTTTTTCATACGTGTGCACCTCCTCGAACATTTCTATACGAGTTAGAGAGGTATTCCTTCTGTTTGTTTGCGGCAGCCCAAGCCATCGCGTTCGTTTTTCTCGGTGGCATGTTCCGATTTCTGGATGGCTGGTGTCTATGCTGTTAGTATTCTGGATGTGTACATGGACCAGCGAATCAGACGAGTGTTCAACGAACGAAGCACGTCATAGATATGCTATACGATTGGTTTGGTTGCGGCATGCTGTAGGTCCCGATCATTGGCCTGGCCGTCAGAGACCTTCTATGCGCTTGATTTGTTTTGTTTGGGCGTGCTGCAGGTCCCGATCATGGCCCTGACGGCGACGGCAACCCCTAGAGTCCAGTCCGAGATCATGACTAACCTTGGGCTGCGGAATCCCTTGGTGGCCAAGACCTCCTTCAACAGGTGGAACCTGCACTATTCGGTAAGTACTGTATGGCCACACCGAGGAAAAGAAAAACACACGAGAAAATAGTGTAGCCCGGGTTTGTCGTTTGTCAGCACCGCCACTGACGTCATCATCTCACCACCTCAGGTCTTGTTATCGGCATGTCTGTTGACGTTGTTGAACTAGCACACACACGTGACACATCGAGCCAGCATCAACTGCTTGTTGCTCGTGTGCCAGCTCCGCCACCACGTGGTGTCACCACTTGAGGCCTTGTTGTCAGCACGTGCGCGTGTTGATGTTGTTATACACCGTTGGCTGAAGACGGTGAACAGTCCAGAGCAGGCACGAGGCGCTGTGTTTATCGTTTTATCGCGAACCCCGTAACATTGTCTCACGTTGCGCTTTGCTGTCGGCACGCGTGTGCGTTGACGTTGTTGAACACCATTGTCGAAAGGTCAAGACGGTGAACGTCCAGAGCAGGCACGAGGCGCTGTGTTCGCTGCTGCGGGGGCTGGAGGGAAGCGCCATAATCTACGTCATGACCAAGAAGGACGCGGAGCAACTGACGGGAGACGTGAGGACCAGCCAAAAATACGATAAAAAACATGGCATACGAATATCTAAACACTTGTGTTTTTGTTTGCTGCGCTTGGTGTTTGCTCGCACTGTCGCCGTGCCCATGTGGAGATTAAGCTTCCGAGCAGCCGAGGGCGACGTGAGAACGAGCCGAGAAAAAGGCATGGCATGCGAGAAATACTGCTGCGCCTGTTTGCTGCTGTTTGCGTGTAGAGTTGCTGCTGTGGAGGTTAAGGTTTCGAGCAGCTGACGGGCGTCGTGAGACAACAATCGAGTAGCTCTTGGAAGTAACTTACGTACACACGTCGCTTTGGATCAACCTTGGCCACAGATAGCGCGATGCCGCAAGCTAATCCGATGACTGATATTGAGGCCGCAGAGATGGATAGCTGCCGATGCAAGAGGATGAAAGAGTAGACCACACAATTATTTGTGTGTCCCTGGGCGAGCTGCAAGAACACTGGAATTGCTATCGTTTGGGAGCATCCATGCAACAACATCCCGTGAACGTTGAACACAAGTGCCAAACGACGCAGGGGAAGTTCTTGCGAAAACGTGGGTAGTGTTTTTTGTGTCACGTCGGTCGAGTCCGCATCGAGCTCGGGCCCTCCGCGCCTCTACAACCCGGCGGACGACAAAATGAGCTCGACTCTGTTGTGTGCGGACAGGTGGCGCGTATCGTGGGTTCCAAGGGTGCGAGGACTTACCACGGGGGCATGTCTCCCGCGGACAGGAGGGAGGTGCACCACGCCTTCATACGGGACGACGTGCAGGTAGGTACATGTGCATAATAGCAAGTATGCTGTGCACAACAACAACTCTGATTTGAGTTTGCCGGTCATGTGCATGGTCCTTTTGGTTTGTTTCACGCTCGGATGTATCTCTGCCCCGAAAAAAAAAAATGTATGTAGTCTTAATCAAATGGTATTGTGTACGGTGAACATGAAATGTATGCACACGCCCTCCTACGGGACGGCGTACAGGTATGTACAACAACAGTTGGGCGGTCAAGTATGCTTTCTGTTCCCTTCTGCATACATGGAAAGATCAAAGCCAAAAGAACAATAAAACATATATGAGGTACAATTTTTAAACAGACGCATATACACGCTTATTTCTTTGATGGCGTGGTAGCCGTTGTTCCCGTCAAGACTTTCAACCCCAGTTTCATCTACTTATTTTCGTTTTTTGCCGTTTGATCAGGTGGTGATAGCGACGATCGCGTTCGGCATGGGGATCGGTAAGTGAGCGAGAGTGCGAAGGCGGTTCTGTCCAGACAAGTCGTTTGTGCTGTTACGAGCCTGTTCGCTGGCCGTTGAGATCTAGGGGAAAAAAAAAATACCGACTGCTTCATGAAGAGGAAAACGCAAGTCGGGGGGGGG